TGTCTACATATTATAAGCAAATCTTTGTTTAGATAAAAGAGTGAAATTAGGGCCGAAAATTGGTAATCTGACGGTTTCTTGCATCGTTGCTAACTCTTTGCATCCTGCGAGGCTTGTCACAAAGCATGCAAACCTACCCGGCCGGAAATAAATCTCAGTTTTGGATAGGCGCTGGTGAGATTTGCTTTCACACACAAAAAAAAAAAAAAATATCTATTTTTTTAATTTGGAGCAGCACCTCCCATACAAAGTCATACTATAAACTTTCTGCGGCAGATTCACTAAATATCGCCAGGGAGTGAAGAGGAAGTTTTCTTCAAATTTGATTTTTCAAACAGGTGGCAACCCTTTTCAAGATACATTCAAACTATAGCTTTTTTAAGCCTCTTGATATCCATTTTTTTAATATAATTTTCAAATAAATAACTCCCTTAATTGAAGTTGAATTTGATTTTTTGTAAAAAAAAAAAAAAAAGTTCCAGTAACCTACCAAAAGTATTTCCTGAGAAATGCAGTATGAAAAATTCCGTTTGTATGGGAGGAGACACGCCCCCTTTTCTAATCGAGATTAAATGTATGCTATATTAGTTGGGCTAAATGACAGGAGTGTACAAAATTTCATGATGATCGGTTGGGTAGTTAAAGCGTGAAAGCGTAGCAAACAAAGAAACCCACTTTCGGATTTATAATATTAGTAAGTAATAAAAAAATTGTTCTTGAAAATCGCCAATTTTTTGCAACATGGTTTTTATAGAGATAACGATGGTATGACTTAAAAAAAAAATTGCCAAAACTTGCTAAAATGTCTCTTCCCTATTTACATTTTCGCCCACCATATATTTATATGTACATATAAGTTGACTTCAAATATATTTCTTGTCTTCTAAGGCCTTTTTGTATTAAAAGTAACTAATCGACAAATATTTTCGTAAAAAATTGTATTCCTTTAACTCGTTGCCAACCATAAGATTAAAGCATTCCGAATGCGAATGCCAAGGCCGAAACACTCGTATTTGCTTATTCCTCAGATTTACCGCCGCATATAGCCAGTCGTATCGAATTCAACACCGGTAGTCTTTGTTATTAAATTTACACAATGATCACTCATGGTGGAATTATACAAAAAACCCAACTTAAATTACTTACCATTTGCCATTAAATTGTCAATTTATTGTAGTTTGAATTTATTAAAAATGTGAATTGTGTTAAGCACAAACAATGGGATCGGCAAAACAACTAAGGATACGACATTTGCTTTTTGGAGGTTTTGCTTTTTACGTTTGCCATTGTTGGTGGTGATTACTTTGAAGTGGTTGGAAATTTGCATTACAAAAGCTTTTTTTAATATTTCTATTTTTTCATATTTATTTCTAACAAATTAAAAATGGAAAAGTTATTTGCATTAAATCATTTGCATTTGCGTGATATTGTAAGAATATATACATGCATACATACATACATGTATGTAGATTTAGTATAGTTGATGGCTTGGTCAGCCCTGAAAGTATTCAACTTAGCACCGTTGGTTGTAGAAGAGAAAGGCCGCAACTGCGTTGTAAAAATCAGACAGAAAAGGACTCCAATTGACGTCAGTTGGCAGAACAGAGAAACGAGTGGCATACTTTATAGGGCTCAGCAAAACTCGCTTAGGCTTTACCAATTTTTTGCTAGAGCGAGTGTAAGTATTTTTGCTTAAATATGAAATATAGAGAAGATTGGACCACTATAACGTTTACAACTCACAAAAGCTATGAGCCCAATCAGTAAATGTGTTGAAATTTTTTTTTAATTTTTGGCTTCTGTTTTCCACTCTTGCACTTAAAAAGTACATAGGTGCAAACATTCCAGTTTCGCCCAGGTTTTGACATGATTTTTCCATTGTTCGAAACCTCATCTCACTTCAGCCCATCTCGCCCCAACTCAATAAAATAAATTCACCTTATCTCAACTCAACTCACCCACCTTATCTAAACTCACCTCATCTCAGCGAAGCATATCACAAATAAAATTGAGTTCTTGATTTGCGATCAATTAAAAATCACTCAACCAAGTATTATGTTATGTTATGTTAATTTCAGTAAACAACATATAACTATTCTTATTATGGAACGATTAAGAAATTAATCAAGAGAAATTTCACTCCCGGTTCAAACCCAGGTGATAGGAAGAGGTGGTAGTACACAACTTTTGACACTAAGCCACACCGGAATCCTTGCTAAAATATTAAACAACAACACATTTTACCGTGCATTACTATGTAGTACGAGGATTTTTTGAATAAGAGGTCACACATAATAAATTCCTCAATGATTTAATGTCTTTGGTAATTCCTGAATAAATAGTTCAGATCATTCACATTTTCGATTTGCATGCGGGCGATTCCAGCGTCACGGGTGGGACATTTGTACAAAAAAAAATGTTCTGTCTTGCTTAAATTTAAGTATAAAGTATTATTATATGAGCTATTATAAAATATGAAAAAAATTCCAGCTTACTTTTATTGTAAGAAATTAAAGTTATTTATTCTGTCACGGGTGGGACAAAAAAAAAAGAATCTGCTTTTTGGAGCAGATATATTTTACGGAAACTCCGTGAATTTATTTCACTTTTCTGTGTGAACTTGATGTCTGGCACGGGTGGGATACGTATGCATTTTTATATGAAAATAACCTTTTATTTTATTAAAAAAATACAAGAAGCCAAGTAGGGGTTCAATTCGCCTACATTTTATCTTAGGATACCGCCTTTTACATAGAAGAAAATGCTTAGCACCGTCAACCAAAAAGATGATTAAAAATCAACGCGATTTTCTAGCGTCTTGAAATTTTCTCTTTTCACTTAAATTTAATGGACTATAAAACTGCATACCTAGAATTTTTCTAAAAATTCTGAATAAAAAGTTTTAAATTTTTGGGTGTAATTGTTAAAGATTGTTGAATTTTTATAATTGTTGTACGCAGTTTGAAATGTGGACTTATGTGGTTCTAGTTATGTAATATGCTAGACTTTTATAAAAAAAAAAAACTATAAACATTAAATAAACAAAAAAAGAAAACCGAACCTGGTCAAAATCTCACTTAACTTAATCAGCTGACCACAAAGGTAAAGGGCGAGTCCGCACTGCAATTGCGGTGAACATTTGCAACGAATTTCTAACATTATGTAACAAACACGAAACACAACTTCAACTTCTGTAATTAAATATAACCACTTTTACAACAACTTTTTTCTTGAAGAAATAAATATGGAAGCATTTTTTCTTGAGAGCTGCCAACTGATTTACGAAATTTTGATAGAAGAAAATTTGATTTCCATTTCTTGTGCGTCATTTTATATGAATTTTTCCTGTTCCTTGAGAGCTGGAAACATTCCTTTAATTTGTTATTTTTTGGTTGACTCAAGATTTTTAGAAATGTTTTATCCACACGTTTGTTAGTTTTATAAAGAAAATAATTTTTGCACTGAGGTTCAGTTTCCCATAGAACCGCCCATGTGCAATTTCCAAAGTGCAACAAAACTTTTTAAAGCGCTTATGCACATAGGCAAATGTTTTTCGATCACGAATTTTTCTCTCACCGAAATGATTCTGCATTTAAATGAAGTGATATTCCATCAGTAGGATGTACATTTTTTCCCCCATTTCCCCTTTATGTATACATACATTTAAAGTGTGTGTATGTTAGCTAATATTCTTATACTCTGCTTCCTTTCCTACATTTTATGCGCTGGTATCTTTCCACCGTGTGCCTAGGTTGGACTTCATTTGATATCTCAAATTCATTTAAGACTTTATTAATGAACTGTCTATAAATTTTGCAAATAATGATGCTCGTAAAAGCCAACACTTGTTTAGACATGAAAACTTTTTGAACATAAATAGTTAATTAACTCATTCGAATACGATTAATTCACAATTGTTGCTACTTTGTTAACAACTTTAAATGGTTTTTGTTTTTGTCATAGTTTGGTGAATTTCTTTCCTCCTTACCATAGTCGTAAAAGTCAAATCAACGCTTAGCAATTAAATAAATTTGGCCACATGGCAACCACAAACGTGAGCACAAGGGCGGTCAGCGGTGCTTGCTAAAAAAAAAAAAAAATTTGAATAGATATGCATGTACATACTATGTAAGTCCGTAGTAAAGGCGGATTTAAAACAAAAACTAAGGGGATTACAAAAACTGGGTTATCCTCAAATAAAAAAATAAAAAATCAATATCGCGTGCAGAAAAAAAATGTCTATGCTGCTCTAACAAGGCTGCAGTACTACATACTACCTATTGATAGATATTGCAAAAAAGACATTTGCATAAAATTCGCAAATTGAAAAAAATGTGCAAACGACTAGCTTGCTACAGTGACGAATCCGTTGCCATAAGTCAGCTAGGTCACAGCAGTCGGACAGCCAATCAAAGCTTTAAAATCAATTGGGATTCGGTGGCGGGGTTTCGCGCTTAAGCAGCTGTCGCAAAAGTGACCTATGCGTTCGAGGAAGTTATATATTAGACAAAAGTGCACGTTACCAAGGAGCTATTAATCAATTCGAAATCAAGCAGATGATTTTCGAATTTCCATATTAATAACAAGTGTGAACAGGGCCAACTTGTTTTAGTTTCTTTGCAAATTAATTTCACGTGCATTATCTAAGCAGTTAGAAGCGCCAGAGAGGGGAGATGAATGCCACTTTAAAAGTAAAATTTAGTCTTATAAATGAATAATGCATTCGTTGTTTACATAAAACATGCGATGTCCAAACATGTTTAACCATGTCATGCCATGCATGCGATAAAACGCTGTTGATAATGTGATCGATCAATTGTTTATTGGTTGAAAGCATACATACGTTTTGCGAGTGTTTGTTAGCAGGAAAAAAATAAACAAAAGTACATATATTTGTCAGCGCATTCATAGATTTTTATGAAAATACACAAATAGTGTTTTACCCATCAAGTTTGCAGCTTAAGTCTCTTGTTTGAAAGCTTTGACTAAGCATTGGTGTATATTTCTGTGAAAGCTTTACTGAAATGCTGGAAAGACAACTTATTTATAACAAAATAATTCATCTAACAAAATGCTGGTTTGCTTAGAAATAAAATCGCGCTGGTTGTAGAAAAGTTTTAATCGGTGAATCGCCGCCGTTCTGCACTTTGCGATAATCATAGCCGCCATTCGTTGCTAAACCGTCTAGGGAGCCCACAACGGATTTACTGGGTGCAACTCCTTCGTCGGAGAACTCTGATGTGCCGCCAAGATTGTCGTATTGCTCTGAAAAAGGGAAAGCGAAAGTTTACATTAATAACAAATTTTATAGAAAAGTTAGAAAATTTAGCTCGACCCTAAATGCAAAATTTCAACAGCTAGGAAACTAATGAAATTATATACAAAACAATGACAAGATAGGCGATTTTCAACAGAATTTTAATCGCTTTTAACTACTAAGCGACGCGCGTCGATCTAATCGAGGAAACTCAAAACTTTTCTAAAAGCTCTGATTCTAGCGTTTGCAATTTAAATGAGTTTTTAAAATATGAAAAATGTCCACGAATTTGTACGAGTTCTGCTTGAAGTTTTGATTTATTTGGTTTTAGTTGTAGAATGAACTATAGTTTTATTAAAAATTAACGAAAAATATTGATCATGAAAAACATTGTTAATGTTGTAGAAAAATTTACTTGACGCTTTTTACTGTACGTCACAGGACGTCGAAAGTTTAGGTTTTGAGAAACTGACTTATGTGATCACTTGATTCGCTCAGTCTAAATAGGTACTGAGATAGAAAAAAACTAAAAAAGCATCAATTAAAATTAACACTGGCCTCCTTTCCTTCAGAGTTTACTGTTTTTTCGCTTAGTTGCTAAGCAATATATTAAAAAACAAACACCCAAAAATATGAAACATTGCGTGCTTAAGTAACTTGCGCCCTCCCGCTATGCTACAATATTCTCATGGGAGAGTCTGGTATCACATTTGACAAGCATTTTTGCAAGATGCTAAGAAAGTGTATATTACTGGCAGCATGGTGGGAGGTGAAGGTTATATTAGGTTACATATATGTATATAAAGTTCAGACCGATAAGTCTTTCATCATTCATACTAAAAGCACTGGAGAGACTAATCGATCGGCATATTAGGCAATGGTCACAGACAAACACGCTTGCTGCCTTTTTGGATATTGAAGGAGCCTGCAATAATGTTTGAACTAGAGAGCTGCGTGAATTCATTCAAACTTCTAGCCAGACAGAGTACAGTAGATTTGAATATTATCAGTACAAAACACTCAGCGTTTGGAATTTTTAATGTTTTGAATATACATTTTGTTTTAAATTATATTCACATTACAACATAAATTACTTTGTTTCGATCAAATTACTTCACATAAACTAAGTACGTTCACATTTCCTTTCATAATTTCTATAGCAGGTACGAGTGGTTTGTACTTGATTTCAAAACACAAATGGTAGCATACCTTTAGGTATTTTTTCAAATTTACTCAACAGTGGGGGCTAAAATAAATGAAAAATCTTTTTTTTTTCTTTATTTGGTTCTTGATTTACGATAAATTATCCCATTCCTTTACAAAGCGAAATTACTTGATTTCAGCATGATTTGCTTATAAATTACACCTGAGCCGTAAATTACGAAATGAGAATAAGCTTTTAAATTCTCTACCTTCAAATGGAAGAATGTGAATGAATGAATGAAAAGCATTCAAATCTTTCAAACTTATTTCGGTTATAGTCTTTTCGTACAAAAAAGTTTTTTCGTATTGTTATAGGAGCGCAGCAATTCATACATACATACCTACATTCATAAAAAAAATTATCATTTATTTCAATTCAATTTATTTTTACTTTGTTTCAATATTGTTGTTTCGACACATATATCAAAACAGGTATTCACTCAAATTAAAAAAAAAAATTGAAGCCAAAATCATTCATTCGTTTTGTATATGTATGAATAATTCATAAGCCGTTTTGAATAAATTTATGCAGTCCTCTAGTTTGAACGGAGGCGGTATGCAAGACACTCTCTGAGTATGGAATTCAGCGCCATATGGTGGCATGGACGCGACCACAGACGTAGGATCTGTCAGAAGGAAAACCACCAGGCGCACGATACAAGGGAGTGTACTATCACATGTACTGTATACGGCTCTTTTAGTATGGTGGAGAGCTCTAGACAAAGGTAGTAGCAGCAAAAGTGCAAAGACTCGCATGCTTTGACATATCGGGAGCAGTGATTAGCACATCCCGGGAAGAGCTTAACATAATACATATTTCACCTGCAACCGTTGCATATTTTCATCCATGGTACGGTCGCAAAGAGGAAATAAATCCACTATCTTTGCCGATAGTTAAGATGCACTGAAGGCAGTAGATTCTAAAATCGTGAAATCGATAATTGTATGGAAATGTCGCACCGCGTTGGCGTCACTGAGCCACATCAACGTCACTCTATGCTGGGTTCCCGGACATAGTAATATTGAAGGGAATGAATCGACTGATGAGATGGTCAGATATGGCTCTGATATTCCAAACGCTTCAATGGTGTCGAATACCAACAAATACTCCCCGCAGAAGCTGCCCTGAGAGGATGAGAAACAGTCAATTGACCACTTTCTGTGTCAGTTTCTACACTCGAAGCGCCTCAAGCACTTGGGTTCACGCTCCTTGAACAAGTCTGGGCGTGATAGTGGAGGTAGGTAGAACTGTTCGATCTCCTCGTCTTCAGTAGGGATAATAATTGGTTCGGTTTTATTTCATTCTCCAAATAACCGTAAAGTCGTTTTTAACCAGAGCTCTACTTTCTGCTAGAGTTGACGCAGTATGGTATCTTATTTTGTTTCGAAAAAATTAGCTCAGAAATACTTTTGAAGTGAAATTTCTTTGTGCTCAGTAGGCTGTAAATCCAAACTTGAATGAAATAAAAAGTTGGTAGAAAAGAGATGAAATGGCGGCCGTGGGTACGAAGGGGAGCAATATTGAGATTAAGATAGGTGTTCATAACTGTGCCGAAAAAAACTGATATTATAAATTGAGCTACTAGATGAGTACTTAATAGGATGAGAAGTATTTTCTAGCAAATGGGAGATTTGAATCAATACACTCTTGGAAAGCATTTGTGATATGCCCCCTATTTCTTTTACTTATTATCTGAACCTTTCAAAAAACTAGTCTTATGGCAATTATGCTGATAAAGTCAGATCTCTAATACGTGGATGAGAGCGGAGCAGGAATTGAAAATCAGTCGGCTGTTATCAAAGTATAAGGATCCCAGATCGCCATATTCCACGTGGAAGTTCTTTGATTTGCGATGACCTGAGAGATCAGAGTGTAAATTTAAAGTACATTGAGAAGAAAAACAAGAATTTTATACTAAAATCAAAACCAAATTAAGGATTTCGGTCACAAACCGATTATTCTTATGTGGAGTACAAAATTCTTATTAATTTTTTTTCTAGAGCATGAATCCTGCTTTTACGATCCTTGATATTTTTTAAACCAGAGACCCAGAACGTGTTCCGGTTTTGGTTTAACTCTGCACGAAAAGAAAATGCAACATATAGAACGTTACCGCAAACTAACCAAACGGAAACAAAAGTATTGAGAACAGCTTGAAAGGAGACAAAATGAGAACAAAAGGTTTGGTACCGCTACCGTAAAGAACAAAATGCGAACAAAACTCTCGGGAACGCTCTCAAAAAGAACAAAATGAGAAAAAACTCTCAAGAACATTCTCAAGAAGACCAGAATGAGAATCAAACTAAGTTTCTAAAGAGAACGAAAGTATCGATGATGAAATAAGAACATAACTCTGGGAACATTTAGCTAGAGAAGAAATGAGAACAAAAGTTTTGAGAACTTAATATTAAGAATGAGAGGGCCGTCTACGAGTTGGTATAAAAAATCGTTTCAGTGAGAACCACGATTGTTAGTTGTAAGCCAGCTGAAATCTATATAATTTCAACTTCTAGATCGTTTATCATTATAGTGAGCTATCCATTTGTGGAACAAGTTTTCATTTTCTGTACAAGAAAAGTGCGAGTCTTAAGTCTTTCGATGACCTAATTTGCAGAATTATCTTTCAGTTCTTTTTTGATTAATTTTAATATTCAAGCATTTCAAACCAAGGCAGCGTAAGAGAACAATTTTGTACTCGCTTCCATTCTTCGCGAACAGTTTAGCGAAGATTTTTTTCTTGTTGTTGTTGTAGCAGCATACAGATTCCACAAAGAGTTTTTGTGGAGTGTTACTGAACTGACAGTCCTTGGCCAGATATAAATCTGGGTCGTTCCGGTTACGTATACCCGACTGTCGTGCGAAAGAGAAGAACTATACTAAACGAGAAAAATACTATGGATATGAGCTGTCAGAAGAGTTCTGAGACTTTAGTTTCCAAATTATTCTTCGAGAGAAAGTTCCTTATACTTGTATTCCCATTTTGTTCGCCTAAAAATGGTCCCAAAAGAATAGCACGCAGTTGGTTCGCTTTAGAACGTTCCCCAGTGTTTTGTTATACAATTCCGGCTGATAATGTTCTCACCAGTTTTGTTCTCACGTCCTCCCTTGTGGAAAAGCTACAGAAAGTTTTGTTCTCATTTCGGTTATGATTTTTAAGCGTTCGTGGTAACAAAACTACGAGAATGATATCTGGTTTCGATAATACCTTTTGTTCTCGGCCCCTTTTTAAAGCCTTTAAAACCACATGAATTTATAATTTGAAGAACGAAAAAGTATTAATCACTGTCGGACTTGCTTTTTGCTCAAATTTTTCTGGTAGGATGTTGTGACACAAAAAATCTGAATGGCAACACTGATTACAGGTCCCGGTTGGAATTTTTGACTCGATCATTCCAGTGCTGATAAAAAAAAACGGCAACATTTTCCTAGGGTTGGTAACCTATGGGTTAGGGTTGGTAAACTATGCCAAACATTTGACTTATGTCGAATTTCCACTAGGTATTGAAATAACAAAAAATTGAAGGCATTTAAAAAATGCCATGTGGGAATGGATTTCATGACATTTTTTGTAACGTAATGACATGAATATTTTTTAATGCCAAACTTGTCATTACAATTTTTGCCATTTAATGCCAAGTGGAAATCCAGCAGAAAATTTCCAACTTAAATTTCGCGGTTTTTCAATAGTTACTTACCTTGAATTTCCTTTTGGGCAGCTGCTGCTTCCTCTGGTGTTTTGTACTTAATGAAAAATATCTCCGGTTTGGTGGGTTGTGTTGGCGCTGGTGTACTAATTTCATCAATATTCAACTCATTATCCTTCTTACTCAGCACATAAATAACTGTTTTCTCCTCTTGTGGCGCATATTCGGCAGTCAATTTGAGATTGGCATTTTCTGGCGAAGGCGCCTTAATAAACACAACGCGATAGTTTTTTTGTGGACGTCCAATGACAATATGCTTGGTGCGTGTTTGCTCCTCCGACTCCTCTGGTGCGGATANGTAACCAAAATTAGGCGCAGCGTTAGTGGACAAAGCCAGCAGCGCACAGGTGTACAAGAAAAGAAAGCGCATTTTTGAAAAAAAAATAATAATTTTTTTAAACTTGCGCTTATTTTTGTTCAAAATCACGTGCCGACTATTGCCACTCAATGCAAGTTGTTTTTAAGTCTGATTAATGTCTTAAACTGCTGTTTAAATTGGAAAGACTCCAGCAATTTATAGGTGAATACCGTTTTAAATGAAAATCAAATGGCGAGTGTTGAGAAAATTTAAGTTTAATGTTGCATGCAACAGTAGTCGTTAAAGTGTATGCTTGTATGTATGCTCATGTAGTTTGATATATTTTTTTATACGTTATTAAGTTTAGCAGCAGCGGTCGATCTATGTTCAGCCGCGTCAGCACTCTTTTTGCGCCTGAGAAAATTCGAAATTTTAATTTGTGCATTTAAATGTTGTCGGTCATAACGACATCCGCCCACACAGACCATCGCGTTTACTACAAACATACATACACACCGTATTTTGACCAATTTAATTAGTTCAATGTCAGTGCGTATGCTTTTGAGATCTCTTTTTCGCTTGTCAATTACGAGCGATTGTCCCTCACTCTGCACTTAGAGACCCAACTCAGCAGAGCAGCTAAATAAACAAAACTCCTAATTCTTCTGCTTCACAACACCGTTTTGATGAATTAATTAATAATTCATACTAGGTACTAAGTTCAACTGCCAATTTTTTGTTTGTTTGTAGCCAATTAGTCGTATTTACGCGCTTGCTGCACATGACTATTTGAATTTGTATGCTAATATCGTAACTGTGTTACCACAATTTTTCACAATATTGCTGAAAGGAAAAATTTCAAGCTTTTGCTAAATCTTGAAGTCTTATGTAATTTTCTTTTGAATAGGGCTGGCAACTGGGTGAAAATATCTGCAGCTTGGCAATCTCGTAAGTTCAATGCTCGAATAGGTAATTATTTAAAATAACGTCACAAATTAAAAGATGGGAGACTGGAACGTATGAAGCGGCTCTTATGGTTATCAGTTTGGAACAAAGTAATCTTCCTTAATAATACTAGTTAGATATATTTACATAGCAGGCGTAAGTATAAAAAAAAGCTCAAGAAAAATGTATTTAGCCAAATTTTCGTAAGCAGTGCGAAGTTCTTAAGAAGTTTGCTACGCTTACTACTACTACGGCTGTCTAAAGTTTTTTTGTGAACAAAGAACATAAGCGAAACTATGGTGAGGAAAGGGTGAAATTCCACGGACACTACGATTCACACAACTAAATAGTGCAATTTTTTCCTTAACCGTTTTCTTGAGAACTTAGATTTATACATTAAAATAAGCAACATATGCTTGCTTATCAAATTAAGCTTGCTGAATAAGCAATTCCAAGCAAAGGCTTAAAGTTTTTGGACCTGCTCATAACCCAAAACAAAATATGTGTTTTTGTATTTTTACGGCAGTAAATCAGTTTTATGAATTAAGAAATAGTAAATTAATTTTTGGCGCCCACTTTTATGTCAAGCATTTGACAAATTTGTGCTATGCAATTTCAGATTATTATTGCGTTGGACGCCTGCTGTTAGAGAACACTGTTTATTATCATTTTTGAATGTAACCCAGGTTACACCCAGGACCTGGGGCTAACCGAGGATTAGAATGTACCCGGAAACGCCGGAAGCCATTTCAGCAAAAAATGTTGATTCCTTAAAAAGGCCTTTAAATCAGGGAGGGATAGAAGGAGGGATAGGGTTATATATATATATATAGGGTTTGCACAAAACTTCAAGGTGTTTTTCCTCGAAAGGAACAGCTGGGACAACGAACGACCTAAACCCCGGAGCACCTGGTATACTGACAACTCCAAGAATGACCACGGCGTCGAAGCAGGAGTTTACATCACACAACGCGGACGGCCCCTTTTCACCAGCATGACACAAGGTAACTCTGTCTTTCAGGCCGAGGTGCACGGTATTGAAATATGTCTGAGGCAGTATGTAGAAAGGGGAGCAACCATCAAACACTTCTACATACAGTGGAACAGCAGACCGACGCTCCTCGCCTTTAAAGCGCACGAGATCACCTCAAATCTGGAGTGGGACTGCCTTCAGCTTGTATTAATTATTGCATCCAGGAACCGCGTATACCTCATATGATTACCGGGACACTGTAGAACCATTGGCAATTAACTGACAGATATCCTTGCCAAAAAAGGGGCTGCACAGGGATGCATAGGCCCAGGATCCATTACTGGTCTGCCATGGAGCTCCGTTAGGCAAAACCACTTGATCTGAATGAAGAATAAAGCGAAACATTACTGGACAAATACGCAAGGTAGCAAGGCAGGTCAAATCTTTAACTCCAGATATATCAACAAGGAGAACCGAAGAACTCCTTCGCCTCAGTAGGGATGAAGTAAGAATTGTAACAGGTTTACTTGATGGCCACTGTTAACTCTGAGTGTAGGTTATGCAACGAAGAACCACCGTACCTAGACACACACGACCTAAAGCGCATTCAGCTAAAGGACCTCGCTAGATTTCTTGCAATACGTGGAGCAAGTCCTGTAGTGGAATGGAGGTTTGTTACAATAGATCGTTGTTGTCGTGGAAACTCGTTGACCTGCTCCCTCCTCTAATCAGAATCACTTTTACCAACAAGTGCTACTTTGGAATTTGGGCAATGAAAAGATCTGGAGTTTTCGAGGGAAAGATTGTGCGAAAGATTTACGGGCCTTTGCGCGTTTGCGAATACGCGGGTCGCGATGCTGGTAACAGAGGACAAGAAAGACCTCCTCTGCGTTGAAAAGACCAGGTGGAGAAGGACTTTGCCTACCCTGCATTTCCAATAGGCATGAGTTGGCACAAAAGTGAAACGAATGGCGTGCTTCAGTTACAGCACCAAACAAACAGAATAGGAAGAAGACGAAGAGGCTGAAGAGGACGAAGAAGAAGAACAAGAAGAAGGAGAAGAAGAAGAACAAGAAGAAGGAGAAGAAGAAGAACAAGAAGACGGAGAAGAAGAAGAAGATGAAGGAGATGAAGAAGAAGAAGAAGGGGTTTAAAGATTAATATCTGATGGGTATAAAACCGATATATTTTTCTACTTGCTTGTTGAGTTCTTCGCACACCGTTTCAATCTAACCTAACCTAACCTCGTACGAATGTAAAATAAATAAGAAGTTGTCATTACTTCTTTCCTCTTGTCTTAAAGCGCAGTTACCCACGGACGTAAAAACGAAGAACGCGCTCTTAATCCGCAATTGGAAGTGACGTATTGTAAGCTTAAAGCATTTCACACTAGAACAATAAATTTGCGAAATAAATATATCGAATATTTTATTCGAAACCTTGACATTGTTATTGCGAAAAAAAGAATTAAAAAAAAAAATCAGACAGCAGTTTACGGTGGTCGTTTTCATATTTATAGCTTTAAGAATGGGAAATGATTTTTGCTCCGTCGAATGGTCGCTTAGCGCTCGTAAATTAGAAAACAGAATAGTTTGAATTTGCATTGCAAATTGAAGTGTATAAATATTTATTTAACTTCGAATTCAACTCGATGAAATATTCTTTTCTAATGCGCGACAGAAGCAATAATAGATATACATAAGTAAACGGAAATAAAAGTAAAGAAAAGAAATGGAATGTTTGTCGATAGACTTAGATGCTCAATGAAAAGTGGAACTATCTATACTATAATAAAACTGTGAATTGTTTGTCTGTTTGTTTGTTTAAACTCACTAATCTCCGGAACTACCGAATGGATTTTCATGGGGCTTTAACTGGTGTATATAGAGCGACCTGAGTGCTGTAACTTCGAAACCGTAAGTCACATGACTTTGAAATTAGGCGAGTTGGCATACATGCATATCTATCGTAGACACATATTGTCGATATACTTTTGTAAAAGGGGCGTGGAACATCCTATGGGTGTAAATTGTTAATCAGCCATAACTTCGCAACCATAAGTTACATGCATTTGAAATTTGGTATGAAGACATACCCATGGCAGGCGCTTATAAAAAGGTATATAGGAATGAGCTTGTATAAGGGGCGTGGCGCATCCCATAGGCGTGAAATTTTAAATCAGCAATAACTTGGGAACGCTAATAATAATAATATCCCAACGGTTTTTACCCTCCATTCCCGCCCATCCGCACGAGGGGCGCAGTCCGCATGACGTACGGAACCAATATTTTAAATTTTTGTGCCGAGTCACGATAGGCAGGAGTTTGTTA